AGTTTTAAAACTGATAAAAGGAAAACCGTTTAAAGGAAATATAATTGCTGGCCTGTGGCACTCTAGGCTGCAGCATATTATTGATGTTTAATCGGTTCCAAAATATGCTTATATATTTATATGAAAAATAGCATCTGCAGTCACTAGTGAAAATAATGGCTCTGAATGTTGATACTTCAGGGCTTAACTTGATTCTCAGCTGGGTGAGAAAGAAATCTCACACCCCACCTCAGGATAGTATTATACAGACTGAGGTATTTCTTTAAAAAGTCCTTCCACTGAAGCAGGGGCAGGCAAAGTCTGGCCTGCAGGCCAGATCCGGCCAGCAGTGGACTCCATTTCCCAGCAGCCCCTGCTTGCGTGGCTGGGTCCAGTTTCCATGGAGACCCAAGCAGCAGCCACCCTGTGATAGCATGGGGCCATGGGTTTCTGTGGAGACTGGCCCCAGCAACAGCACCAGCCTCTTCCTGATGGGGGAGGTTTACGGGGGGCTGTGCTGCAGGCGGGAGCCGGGTAGGCTCAGGTGCCGCCACCTGTGCGGGACAGGCAGCAACAGCACTGCCGCTGGGAGGGGTGGCTATGGAAGCTACAGGGAATTCTGGGGTGGCTATAGCCCCCCAAGCCCTCCCTGCTGGTACACTGCAGGGCACAGAGCTGCTCCGAGGCCAGGCTGGGATCTTGTGGTCACAGCGTGTTCTACAGCCAGGGCAGAGCCACGATCTGTAGCCCGCGTGCTCTGGGCAGGGGCATGCAGGCAGAGGATTGTGGCTCTGCCTCTGCTCTGGACCACGCTGTCACCACTGCAAGGAGCCAGGGCAGAGCCGCAATCCACTGCCTGCATACCCCTGTCCAGAGCTCAGATGCTGCAGATCGCGCTCTGCCCTGGCTCTGGACCACACTGTCACTGCCACAAGATCCCAGCCCGGCTCTAGAGCAGCTCTGTGCCCTGCTGCGCCTTGCTGGGGCCAGTCTCTGTGGAAACCCTGGCCTTGCGCTGCTGGGGTCTCTACAGAATCCAGCCCTAGCCATGCGGGCAGGGGCTGCTGGGAAATGGAGTCCAGCCACCGGCCGGATCTGCAATTTTGCCCACCCCTGCTCTGAAGCATTCCTATCAGCCACTTAGATATCATCAGGCTAACTGTCTCCTTAGGGAAACCTAAGATAGGAGGGGAAAGATTTATTTACAGCACAGCCAGCCATAGGGCACTTCACAAAATACACCAAGAAACTGCATTATGCTCCGGTAACCTGACTTCACCAGTGGTCAGCACAAACCTCTGCAGAGAAAGCTGCTAGAATCCTGTAGTGTGCAGCTGTGGAATAAACCTGTCTCAGGGAAATTCTTCTTCCTACTCCTGTCAATTAACAGTTAGGTTATGCCCTCATATCCTTCTATTTGCTCTACTTAAGAACCCAGGTAGAACCACAAATTATATTACATGATTACCATTACTATGTTTCTTTGGGCACATTCCAGAAGCATAAAGTACACACAGGTACCTCTCTTTCCTCACCTCTGTAGTCAGCACATCCCCTTGTATCCATTTCACCTTTAGAAAATACTCAATATCTTCATACAGAAGGTCACACCACATTGGTCAGACATCTCCAGCACATGCTGATGGTTTTATCGTTCCAAAATAAGACCTGTACCCCATGGGAGGGTGTATTGCTGATGGATAATAGCATTTTATACATTGCCAATGTCATCCTAGCATTTTGTTTGCTTACATAGTTATTGCAGTTCTGTGGAACAGATGCTTATATTGAGCTGACCACAAAGATGCTCAAGTTTTTTTTTCCTGTATGACTAGAGTTCAACATGGAAGCATGGGCAATAACTGGAATAACTTGTTATACATTAACTGCTGGCACCAGCAAGGTGGTTTCAACTGCTGTCATGCTGCCCATTCATTTAATTTGGCCAGGTCCCTCCGTTTGCATTGGTTTTGCTTAACCTAGGTAATTCATCTGGAAATGTTGCCTCTTTGCTGCCCACCTGATCATGTAAGATATTTAACAACATGTGTCCCAGTGTGGAACACTTCTGATATTCTGCTATAGGCCTTTTGCAATGATGAAAATAAATCACTAGTTTTATCCTCTCTCAGTCAAAGTTTGACCCAGGACAGTACTTCACCTTTCCTACCAACAGAACTTTTTTTCCCTTAGTAGCTATGGTGAGAGACTTAAAAAAAAAAAAGGCTTTTCAGAAGTCCAAATAAATGTCAAGTGACTTTTTTATCCACTCTTTGTTAACAAGATTATTGCATTCTAGTAAGCTGAAGAGAAATATTTTACTTTTACTGTAACTACATTCAGCATTATCATGCCCTATTCATCTGGATGAGTTTCTCAAACTTCTGATACACGGGATACACTTTTCTTTTTCTTGATTAGAATTGACAGCACACTTTGCAGGAAGAGTCCACAAACCAGATGCAGTCCACGGGCCCAATCCTGCCATGCAGGTTGGCCCACCACTATTGTGACACACCCTTTGGGAATCACTGATCTACATGTTTTATAGTTATACTAGTTTTATGGTATATTTGTTGTGTCAGCCAGTTTGCCTGAACCCTAAATAAAGCACCAGTCATGTTCCTGGATCTGATGAAAAAAAACAGTGCCACAAAGGACAGAGTGAAAGAAAGCTGGGTCAGCCTAGAAAATGAGGTGACTATAGCAGGTTTTAAGCAGAGGACCCAGAGAGAGAGGCAGTCCTAGACATGAAAGATAGCATGAGGTAAGGTATAGACTCAGAGCAAGCGAACCATCAAGGAGTGAGGCTGGACAGAGTGGAGCTGTTAACAGAGGAAAGCAGTACTCAAGTGTTAGCAAGGCAACTGGGGAGGATAGAGTGTTTTCTTACTAAGAGAATGCTTATAGTCTTGGATTTGCTTGTAATCTTGGATTTGAATGTGTGATGGTGACAATCTCCTCTATTCATTGCTGGCTATTTTGTTGGCTGAACTAACTGATTACCCTAAGCTAGAGAGGTTTTTAATTCCATCTTTGTTGGGGTCCTGCTAGATGCGATGCTACTGCTTTACACTAAAATCTAAAAGCTTGCTGCAAAACACTTACTTAGAATTCATAAATGGAACACTAGAAACAGAACTACCATCATAGGGTCTGGGTTCCCCTCCAAATGCAGATTGTTTAAAAACAGCTTTATTGAAAAACCCTGAAAAGGTTTCAAAGCCATGGCAATGCTGAAAAAGGAATCTACTGTTGACCAAATCCGGCCAATTGCATTCCTCACACTCACAGCAATCAGTTTAGCAGGCAAAGCTCTTCCTTTTTCCATAACTCATTCCCTGGCTTAGCGTGTTTGCAGTAAGATGCTATAAAGCTCGGAGCCAAATGATGCAACACCATATGCCCGGCAACAGCCTACAGATGTTCCATTTCTATGTTTCACTTACACTTCAATGCCGTCTGCTAAGAGATCATTAACATACCAAATAAAATATTCAGATTAACAGGAAAAAGAATAAAGGTAACAACTGATGCCAACGAATTCCCATAATGCAAACCATTCTCTTGCCATTTATTCTCCACGGATACCAAATACTCATTCAGATATGCTATGCAGTCAGAGGCTCACTTTTAAATAGGAGGCTTCACAAGCCTGGCAAGCAGACTTTTATGGCCCTTGCTTCCAAACATGAAGCTGAAATCTGCTTCTTTTTCAAAAACGTGCTCTTTACTCTATTCCATAAATTCTGGTCTAGTAAACCCACAGATGAAAGACACTAGAAGCAGCAAGTGTTAAGCTATCATTGTAGACCTGGGCTACGTTTTACATACTGTTTAGTCTTCATGGGCTTTCTACCACTGATCCCTGAACTGAGAAACATTTGTAGTGGGGAAGAACATTTACAATTATACTGTGTCAGGAAACAGTTTTGTTGGGTTGTTTTTTTTGTTTTTTGTTTTTAGAGGTACAGGTAGTTTTAGAGGGGAGCAGCCTGTGAATCAGAACTTCTTAACCTCTGAAGGCTAGAAGGTGCAGGGAGAGAGGAGCAGGGGCTGTAAAATCCTGGACATATTCAGTTCACATACCCCATCCTCACTCCAGCATCTACACTCTGCCACTGTGTGAGACAAGATGTGGGGCTAGACCAGGGGTGGGCAATTATTTGGAGGGCCACTTAATGAATTATAGCGAACTGTTGAGGGCTGCACGCACTCTCATTCTTTCTCTCTCACACACACACACACACATACAAGCTCCCTCCAGCCAGGCTGAGACTGGTGCTAGAGCGGCAGTGGAAGCAGAAGCATTTGCAGCCCCACAGAGCCAGGCTGCAGGAGTTGCGGGGGGAAGGAAATGCCCCCTCCTCTTGGCCTCCCTCCACACCCTCTAGGCCAGGGGTGGGCAAAATGTGGCCTGCAGGTTGAATGTGGCCTGCCAAGCCATTCTATCTGGCCCACGGGGCACCTAAAAAATTTAGAAAATGAATATTTATCTGCCCCGGCTGCCTGTCATGCGGCCCTTGATGGCTTGCCAAAACTCAGTAAGCAGCCCTCTGCCCGAGATAACTGCTCACCCCTGCTCTAGGCAGACCCAGGGTGGGGGAGGCCTCAGATCCCCTGCCCACCCCCACTGTCACAGTGCTGGACAGGTGGGAAGGATCCCGGGCTCTGCTGGTGCTGCAGGCGACACTGGGAAAAAGCAGCTCTGGCTCCACCCTCCTGCCTGCCCGGCACTGCAGGGTTGGACTCCATCTCCCAGGCTGCTGCACAGTGCCGGGCGGACGGCAGGGCTGCTCCTGTCCAGTGTCCTCAGCTGTGCCAGCAGGGGATGGAGCTGCCACCCCACGGACCTGTCAATTGATTCTATCCAGTGCATGGGCAGGGGCTGCTCTGGCTCCAACCTCTGCTGGTGCAGCAGGCCAAATAGAAAAATTGGTGGGCCAGATATGGCCTGCAGGACATATTGTGCCCACCCCTGGGCTAGATGGACCTATGGTCTGACTCAATAAATGGCAGATCTCCTGTTCCTGTACAAATCCCTTCAGCTGGTCACCCAGCTCTGTTGCAGACTTGAGAAATATCTCTGAGGGGTCCTGCACTTCAAGATCAACCAGCCTCATGGTCAAATGCTGGGACAGTCCAAAAGCTGCATCTGGAACTTTCTATAAATCGAAGCAAACAAAAGCTAAATCTAATTTGAGAAAGGTCTCACTTTTTTCTGGTGAAAATATGTGTGTCCCCCAAAGAGCTCTTTGTGCAAACAGGTAAACCCCTCTCCCATTCCCTCTGTAATTATTTGAGACTCTGCAACTGATTGGCTTCTATGCTCCCTTGTAAAAAGATGCAGACTGTCTCGGGTTTTGGGAACAAGAGTCCACTATGCTGTGGGGACAGTGTGTTATTGTTACAGGAGTGTCTCTCAACAAAACTGTATTGAGTGGCAAGGACGCAGTTTTGATTAGGTGGAATGACTCAGCTGTCGCGCTCAGAGAAGGGAGAGCTTGTCGAAGCCTTACCTCGTGATCTGGGATCTCAGAGGACAGCGTTCTCCCCAGGATGACCCCAGTCAAGTATGTCCAGCAGCGGGCCGTGTTGGCAAGATTGTAGCCTCCTGTCTCCAGCAAGAATCATGAAATTAGGAAGGGGCAGATGGGGAGGAGGGGGAAGGAAGGGGAGAGAGAGAGTTTTAATGAAAGAAATGCATTGTGGAAGAGCAAGAGACTTTCAGTTGCAATGCACATGAATAAAGCTTTTTATTTAGTCCTCCCAAGCCATGCATAGTAACTGTGATTTGCACCTGTTGCAGAGCACAGAGCTAAGACAAAGCAGTTGATCACCCATACTAAAAAAAGCAGATCTCAAGAGGGAGACTCAGAGGACTTCTCAGTAACTGGCTTCAAAAGGTACCAGTAAACCCTGAACCTTTGAATACAAAGGTCAGGTTATCCCAAGGTGACATGATGGCAAGGAAGATATTCATATTCAGCGTGTAAGCAGTTAACATGAGCAAAGCATAGACAACCAGTTTATGATTAGAATCTTACTTTTAACCCCAGCATGTGGTCCAAAGTGAATGATATTCAAGACTGACCGTGTGTTGATTTTAAAAAAAATCTCCATTAGTGCCACATTTTGAGCAGAGAACTTATCCAACCATGAAGCCAATTAAATGGGCAGTATCACTTGTGGACCAGTTTAACAGCCTTAGCTAGACATTAGGGCTGTGCAAAATGCCTGTGCTTCGTTTCCATTTCAGATTCAGTATATCAGACAGAGAGTGACTTGTTTTGGTGTTTCGAATCATTGTTCTGTTTCGTTTTGACTGAAACTGTTTTGGAGCTGTTTCGGAATTTTGATAGTGTTTCAGCCATTGGCTATAATGGGGTATCGCAAAACTGCCTCTAACTTTGTCATTTCTTGCCTGATTCAGATGAAACTTGCATGGATACTAGCCCCTTCTGAGGCCGTGAAGCCTGCCAAGTTTCAAGGAGATGGGTGCAGGAGTGTCTGGGAAACTGCACCTCAAACTGTTCAAAACAAAACTAGTATCAGTTGCTGGCAGTGGCAGACTGCTGTCATCCTGCACACAGATCCCCGGGAGGAGTCTGGCACAGCCCTGCAGCCCTCCCGGTGAATATGGGCCCCGGATCTGAGTGCGGGATGACAGCAGGCTGCTGCTGCCGGCTGAGGCCAACGCCAGAACTGGGCTCTTCCCAGCATTCGGCATGGGCTGCACTGGGCAGACTCAAGTGCTGGCGCTGGCCCTGGCCCCAGTCAGCAGCAGCAGGATGCTGTCATACACATACTCTGCAGCTGGTGAGTACAGAGCTTTAAAAAAAGCCCCACATTCACCGGCTCTGGCAGTGGTGATTGGTACCTTTGAGGGCTTGTGGCAGAGCACCCCCCCGTACAGCGTGGGACAGCGGGAATCGCCCTCCCTGCCTGGCACCTGCGCAGCAGCTGCACCATGTTGCGCTTGGCAGGGCGCCACATGCTGTCCTGGAGCTGGGGTGGCCCAACAGTCACCTGGAGCTCCCAGTTCAATCCCCAGCTCTCTGATCATTCCCCCAGCTGCTTCCAGGGGGCACAGGCCCCTGGATCTGCATGCAGGGTTTCAGCAAGCTGCTGCTGCTGGCTGGAAAAATAGCCCAGAGGTGCCGCCATCCCCAGCTGGTAGTGGCAGCCTGCTGTCATCCCGTATCATCTGGAGGTCTGTGCCCCCTGGGAAGACGTGGGGGAAGTGATCAAAGAGCTAGGGGAAAGATCGGGGAGCTGGGGAATTGAACCAGGAACTGGGGGAATGTTCAGGTACCTGAGAACATTCCTTCAGCCCCTGGTTTCATTTCCCAGCACTGTAGTTGGAAGGGACCCGAGAGACAGATCATTGTCACTGGCCTGCTACAGATGTCAATATCATAGCAGTCCTTTCCCACCTGGCCCCTTCCCTCTTTCCCTACCAGCTCACCTCTGAAACAGCTCTGAAACATTTCACATGGCCCATTTCGTTTCGGAGTGGTTTCAGAGCCCTGCATTTCGTTTGAGATTCAGTGTTTTGACTGTCGAAACATCCAAATCCAAAACTAAACTAAACAACCACCAAAATTTTGCACAGCCCTAATAAACATCACCCGGGTTGTAGTCACCACTGCTGATCTTCTAATGCCACACAAGAGAAAACCTCAACTTAAAGCAATCCTGGCAGGACTCACTTACTCGCAGAAGGATTTTCAAACTGCAAATGCTAAATAAGAACTATCCTTGGAGCATGAAAAAATAGTTTCTCACAGACTCCCTCTCCCTTTGATATTCTGGCAAACATTGATCCTTGTCTCAAATTTTATTTTTAATGCCTCTAAGAACTGAACCACTTGGTTTTGTTATACTTACTGCATCTGGGGCCAGTCACACTTCTTGCTAAGAAGTGCAAAAAAGAAAAAAATCTGTACTTCTCCTCTATGCTGTTAGCAAGAGCAAACATGCTGAATGTTTCCCAACCAACTGCCACTGGCGAGAGCAAGGCTTACTCTATTGTACTTGATAATATCCCTTAAAAGGTTCAGAGTGCCTCCTCAGATTAAGCAAATGGGTCTGTGTGGAAGGCAAAGGGAGTTCAGATTTCCTGGGCCAAAGGGCCTTTTATTTATTTATTTTTTATTTCTTTATTAACATTTTCCTTGCAACAGGAACAGCTTATTTTCTGTCTATTGGACAAACAGCTGGTTGCACAGAGCATGCTACAAGCCAAAAAGCACTTGAGAGGGCTTCCATACAGCATATCAGAAATCTGCTTTTTGTGAATACAGCCAAATCTTTTCCCAGACTTTGTTTGAATCCAAATGAGATAAATTCATTGCCAGGTGCCCAAGGTAGGTTTGAGAACATAATGCTTACTTTTAAACCGAAGCCCTGCAGTGCAGATCGCCAGAGGTGGGACTCAAAAGATGGCACTGAAGAGCCAGGGTCTTCACACAAGAGAAAACCTCACTGCAGTTAACAGCTTCTGTTCTCCTCAGAAGCCAAGAAACCTTTAACCTAGGATCTCAGAGTCAGGGATTGAGATTTGGACCTGCTGGTACCAAGGAGCTGATGTCAGTGTAAAAATAACACCACATCAGCTCTACAAGCACCTCCCCCATATAATTTCCAGTTGAAAATGCTTATTTCCTTCAGCTGCCCTTCGAACCGTGTGCAGCTTTCAACTACAGATTGTGCGCTCAAAAAGCCAATAGCAGGGAAGCAAGCTATTATCCTGCTGCTCTGAGCAGAGTAAACCTCACATATACTCACCTCCTCCCAGGATGAGGGTAGCCAGTTGCCACTGCAGAACGTATTTCAGACATTTGCCA